GCAGATGGGAAAAAGGGGCCTCATCCTCATCCTCCTTCCCGAGGTAACGTAAGATAATGAGCCTCCTCATCCTCCGCCTCATCCTCTTCCTCCTTCCCCTCTTCGGATGGAAAAGGAAAGCCGGGGAACCTCCCCCTCATTCTTCTTGAAGGAAAGGGAAGGGAAGGGAAGGAACCTCCTCCCCCTCCTCCTCCTCCTCCTCCTCTTCCTCCTCCTCCTCCTCCCCCGCCTCTTCCTTTTGCGGGAAACGCAAGGCAAGGGGAGGACCTCTTCCTCCGTCCTGAGGGAGAAGGAAGGGAATGACCCCCCCTTCTCCTCCTCCTCCTCCTCCTCCTCCTCCTCCTCCTCCTCCTCCTTCTGAGGGAAAGGGAAGGGATGAAACCTCCTCCTCCTTCGTCCTGAGGGAAAAAGGAAGGGAATGAGCCTTCTTCTAATCCTCTTCCTGTTTGAGGGAAAAAGATGGGAAGGGAACCTCCTCCTCCTCCTTCCTGATGGAAGAGGGTAGATCGTTCAAGCGAAGAGATGCTCGTTCAAGCGAAAAACTGGTTCGCTCAAGCGAAAAAAAATCAACCAGCGAAAACTACGTGAATAGACGCAGTAGACACAGAGGGGACACAAAAGGGACACAGGGGGACACTGGGGGGCACAGGGGGACACAGAGGGACACAGTAGGACACAAGGACACAGAGGGACACAGAGAGAAACAGAGGGACACAGAGAAACACAGAGAAGCACAAAAGGACAGAGAGACGCAAAAGGACACAGAGGGACACAAGAACATAGACACATATGGACATAGAGGGACACAGAGCGACACAGAGGGACACAGAAGGACACAGAAGGACACAGAGGGACGCACAAGGACATAGGGAAACACAGAGGGACGCAGAGGGACACAGAAGGACACAGAGGGACACATAGGGACACAGAAGGGCACAGAGAAACACAGAGGGCCACATAGGGGCACAGAGGGACACAGAGGGACACAGAGAAACACAGAGAGAGAGAGAGAGAGAGAGACAGAGAAGCACAGAGGGATACAGAGCGACACAGAGAAGCACAGAGGGACACATGGGGACACAGAGCAACACAGAGGAGACAGAGAGACAGGGGCACAGAGGGACACAGAGGGGCACAGAGGGACACAAAGGGACACGAACACAGAGGGCCACAGAGGGACACAGAGGGTCACAGAGGGACACATAGGGACACACATGGACACAGCTGGGAACCAGGATTTCGGGTTTTTCCAGGCTCGCGGCTGTCCAAAATCCCGGTTCGCGCCATCCCAGCGGTCGCCGCTCGTGGGGGCGGAGGCTCGGGGCACCTGGCAGAGCCGGGAACCGGGATTCCAGGCTTGTCCAGGCTCGCTGTCCAAATCCCGGTTCCCGCCATCCCGGCGGTCGCCGCCCGTGGGGGCGGGGGCGGGGCGCCCGACAGAGCCGGGAACCGGAATTTCGGGCTCCTGCAGGCTCGATCTCTCCAACACCCCGGTTCCGCCAACCTGGCGGTCGCCGCTCGTGGGAGCGGAGGCTCGGGGCACTTGGCAGAGCCGGGAACCAGGATTCCAGGCTCAATCAGCCTCGATCTCTCCAAAATCCCGGTTCCTGCCATCCCGGCCGGCGGTCGCCGCTCGTGGGGGGGGCGCGCGACAGAGCCAGGAACCGGAATTTCGGGCTTACGCCTTGAATGCATTAACATGGAGTAATAAGATAGGACCTCGGTTCTATTTTGTTGGTTTCTAGAACTGAGGTAATGATTAATAGGGATAGTTGGGGGCATGGGTGGACTGGACACATAAAAAAATAGCTTCAGCTTGGGACAGCCATGTTAGATATCCCCCTGGGTGGCCTGGACACGTCGAAATACGTGGTTCCAGCGCAGGACCACAATGTTAGATATCCCATCGGGTTGCCTGGACGCGTGAACGCACGTGGTTTCAGCTCGGGACCACCATGTTAGCTACCCCCTCAGGGGTGGCATGGATACGTAAAAACACGTGGCTCCAGCTCGGGACCACTATCTTAGATACCCCAGGGGGGAACAGCTGGAAAATCACCAGCCGAAGAACTTGTGTCAAGTTCTTACACTTCTGATGTAGATGTGCTGATTTTGTCTGGCTCCTGTGGGCCCCCACGCTGGGGGGGGGGGGCAGGCGACCACATGGTGTTAGATGCCCCCCCCCCCCCCCCCCTGTGTAGCCCGCACACGCAAAAACACGTGGCTCCAGCTCGGGGCAGCCATGTTAGATGCCCCTGGGTGGCCCGGATACATTCGATTCCAGCTCGGGACCACCATGTTAGATACCTTTTCTGGGTGGCCTGGACATGAAATCACGTGGTTCCAGCGAGGGGCAAGAGGCAACCATCTCAGATACACCCCCCTGGGATGCCTGGACGCATGAAAACACGTGGTTCCAGCTCGGGGCCACCATGTTAGATACCCTACTTGGCGGCCTGGACACGTAAAGACACATGTCTCCAGCGCGGGACCACCATCTTAGATACCCTTTGGGTGGCTTGGACACTTGAAAACACGTGATCCCATCTGGAGACAACCATGTTCGATACCTCCGTGGGCGACCTGGGCACGTGAAAACAAGCATTTCGCTTGAGACATCCTTTGAATTCTGCTCCCCAGCACAGGAGCGAACTATATGATAAAACAGCCGTTTCGCTCGAGTCATCCTCAACAACTTTGCAAATCAAGCGTTTCGCTTGAGACATCAGTAACAAACGAACATGCGTACTTTACCTTGTGTTTTATCAATCGAATTTCAAAGACCAGCGTTTCACTCGGGACATCCTCACCATGTAATCCGTCGGACTTACGCGACCTCGTCATTGTAGCGGTCTCCGGCTAGAACCGCAGATCCGGGGCGCTCCCGATGGTGCTCGGGTTCGCTCGGAGGCCTGTGGGGCCGTTTTGGGACCAAATTGGGGCCGTCTTAGGAGGCCTCTTGAGGGGGTCTTTGAGCCTCTTGGAGGCTTCTTGGAAGCCTTCTTGGCTGTCTTAGGGGGTGCTTTGCCTGTCGGAAGCAGTCTTGGGCGCCTCGCTGTACCGTCCGTCTGGGAGCATTCTGGGGGCGCCTAGGGCCGTCTCGGAGGCTATCTTGGCCGTCTTGGGGGCCTATGGGGCCGTCTTGGGACCCTCTTCGGGGCCATCTCAGGAGCCTCTTGGGCCGTGACAGGGCTATCTTAGAGGCCTCGCGATCTTGGGGGTCTCTGGGGCCGTCGGAAGGCTGAAAAGAATGAAGCGCCCAATTCCTTTAAAGGCATGTAGGAAGTCAACGATGTGGGCCTCTTCGAGCCTTTCTTGGAGGACATCCTGGGCCATCTTGGGTGCATCTCGGGCCGTCTGGGAAATATCTGGCGGCCATGTTGGGCTCTCTGGCCCCTGCGGTGGGACTTTGGCGGATTTTTACATGTCCCCGCCCCGCCCAGAAAACGGAGCACAGGCGGAACGGCCCCCACCCCCCAGCCCGCCCTTCCCGGCAGAGCCCCCCCGGCCCCCCCCCCCAGCAGAGCTGACGCTCAGGCTGTAGGCTGCAGCTCGGGCCCTTTGAAACTCACACGCGCCAGACCGGCGGATCCATCGCATACGAATCCTCCGGCGCGCGTCTCAACATGGCGCCAGGGGACAGTTTACCAGGGCTGGGCCGAAACAGTGTTTTTCGTTTTCGTTTTGTATTAGTTTTTCCTCGTCTTGTCTTGAATTCGCCTTTGCTGCAAAACGACATCGAAGCCAAAACGGCCCACGAAATCGCCAAAACACCGTTTAGGTCCACCCCTGCAGCTCACAAACGAAAGGAGAGCCCTGGGCCCACGCCGTTGCTGGGAAAAGCAGGAAGGGCGGTCGGGCAGGGGAGGCTCAAGAGGCGAGGGGGAGCTCAGGGCACCGCCCCCCCTCGGCTCCAGCCCTGCGTGCGCGCTCTCTCCTGTGCCGGGATATCTTGGCGCCGGCTTCGAGCAGTGTCGGAACCACGTGCGAAGGGCGGCTGGTGACCGCGGGATACTGGTGTAGTTTGCACGGGATCGTGGCCTCGGGGGCGCGAATCTGGCGCAATCTAGAAGGGATCGTGGCCTCGGGGGCGCGAATCTGGGGTGATTTCAAGAGTGGCCTCGGGCTCCCAGATCTTGTGAATTCACGGAGGATCATGGCTTCGAGGGCGCGAATGTGGTGTAATTCACCACGGTGTGATTTACGAGGGGCCATCTAGGTAATTTACAAGGAGCATGGCCCTAGGGACGAGAATCTCGTGTATTTTTAAGCATCCCAGTGCCCCACCGCTAGGGATTCTGAGAACCCAGGAGGCCGTGACGACCAGGGGTGTTCACAGTAGCAATTAAGAGCGAGCAGCCAGAAGCAGAACTATAACACTACATAGATGACGCTCGCGGAGATGGCTCAGGGGGCGCGCCTCGGGGGGGGTTCCCCCCTCCACCCTCTCGCGGTCGTGCTCTGTCGGGGAACTGTGACTGGGAACGAGGAGCTCAGGACTGGTACCTACCTTGCCGAAGCACGATCTTTGCAGCCTGGTGGCCCCGCGGGGGGGCCGGCAGATTGAAATAGCTCGCGGCGCGAACGAGATGTGCCCCTTTGCAGCGGATCGCACCCGGGCGCAAAGTACAATTGAGGTGCGCGCCCTGACCAGCAGCGCGTGTCACCTTGCGACGCCCCCCATCCAGCTTGCCCCTCTGCGTATCTCCCCGATCCTCTCCGCCCCCGTCGTCACCCTCTCTGTCCCCGTCCTCCCCTGCAGAACCCCTGCGGCTTTTCAGATCCCTCTCCTCATTCCTCTCGCCATCGTCGCCCGCCCCCTCCCCTGCCGCCCCCCCTTCTCTCCGTCCTGCACCCCTTTCTCGGATTATCCCCTCCCCCTCCTCCACGCTTCCCCTTCCCCCCTTCCACGCCCCGCCTCTGCTCCTCTCCGCGCTGGAGCTCCCGAGCTCCCGCTCCGGCCTCCGCCCCGCCCAATCCGCGGCCCTCCCCCTGCGCAGGGCGCGAGGGAGTCCGATCTCCTCGACCTCCTGGAGGAGGTCCGCGCGGCCGCGCCGCCAGAAGAGCTGGTGCCGCTGCTCAGGGAGCTGTGCGCTGGAGGACGGCGGGCCAGGAAAGAGAGCCTGCGGGGGGGGGGCCAGCCCTCCCTCCGCGCTCCTGCGTTCCTCCATCCCGCTCCTCCTCCTCCTCCTCCTCCTCCTCCTCCTCCTCCTCTTTCTCCTTCTCCTCCCCCTCCTCAGAGTAAGCCCTATAGCCCTATAGCTCTATAGCCTCATAGCCCCATAGCCCTACAGCCCTATAGCCCTATAGCCTATAGGCTATAGCCTTATAGCCCTATAGTCCCATAGCGTTCTAGCCCTATATCCCTATAGCCCGTATAATTACCCCCGTAGCCCTATAGCCCTAAACAGATTATGATTGGGGCTTTTCTCCGGTATCACTTGTTTTTCTAGTCTCCCGTCCTTCCTCCTCCCTGCCTCCTCCATACGGACCTGGGGGGGCTGAATCGTTCCAGGGCTCCTCGATGGGGTCGGAGTAGATGGGGTCGGAGGATCGCCCCGCATCGCCGATGAGGGGCACACTTTTCTCCACGTCGACGTCGTCGCCGATGCATCGCCGACGTCGCCAGCGCATGGCCGATGCATCACCGATGCATCGCCGATGTTTCGGCGATGCGGCGAGATCCTCCGACCCCATCTACTCGGACCCCATCTAGGAGGCCTCTAGTTGTATTTCGCGTTGAGCTGGCGACGAACGGGCCGCGAAGTGCGCTGGCTGTCAAAGGAACCTTGGCGAAGTATTGCTTTAGGGGCTAAGTTGTTACCGGGTGCAGACAGAATATGATGCCTAACGTGGATATCGAGTAGCCACCCATACATGACGTTCGACGAATACCACGACACGGCCAAACATGAACATTGTGATCACATTCCCCAGCGGATCCAGTAACGAGAAGGACGAACGAGTGTTCTGTTGGCGACTCCATCGGAGAGTTGGTGGCGCGATACACGCTGCGATAAAAATATGTTGTCCAGCCAGGCGCTGTGTTGATTCGTTGAACAGTGCGTGGACGAAGCTTGGAGCAGTGCAGTTGGTGATCGTTGACTCTGACGGTGATTTACTCGAAGGGTATTAGTTACAGACGTAACAGCTCGTATGTGGGTCAGCTACACGTGGCATATTCTTACTGTTTTAGACGCTGTAGAGGAATCGGTGCAAGGCGTGTCAGACCCGAACGACGTCCATGTTATTGGTCAAGGACTCAGATAATGTACGACTGCGTGCAGCACCATGCGTCTCCAGGGCTAGACACGAAGCGGCAATGGGCGATCGTAAACAAGTCAATCTCACTGCGCTGATATGCTGACCCCGACTGGACTAGCACCGACACACACAAATGTTGACACTCGAAGAAAATGGTCGGTGGTCTAGTTCAAGCTCGGTTCTTTAGTGCAAGACGAAGCAACAGTTTCATCATGAAGTAGTGGCGTTTCTTCGATGGAAGTTGATGCAAATGCTGACGGTTTACCCTGCGTCTGCGCCGCCATTCTCTTTTCATATTGAAGGTCGCCAGTACGACACATCGTATCATTGCGTGCGCATATTCTGGCCCAGCGAAACACTTGTGGACCAACGCATGGAGCCGAGCATGAGCCATACCACGCCGAGTGCAGACTTCTGTACGTGCAACAACTCATGCAAGCATCATCGCCCCCATCGAACATGTACTTGGCCACACTTTGCAAAGTTGCCCGCGTTGTTGTTGGACCATGCGGATGTTTGGCATCACGGATTCTGTACACCAACTGCATGTGCATGGTCGTTAAATTACCGACGATTGACCCATTCTATTGCTATCAGCTGAGCCGAACACGGGGCCAGGGCGGTCCACGACATCCAGCAACGGTGCGTCGATACTGCCATACGGTGAAGTAGTGACAAGCGCAAATGGGCACTGACCGACTCCAGTGTGGTCTTGCGTTAGCTCACGGAGCGTATCGAGGGACGCGTATTTCTTAGTTGGCGTCAATATTGTTCCTTCAGTCTCTCCCTCCTATCTGTCCCCCCTTTCTCATCTTCTTCTCTTCTTCATTCCTTCTTCTCGCTGCTCTTCATGCTCGTTGCGTTTATCCTTCTCCTAATCCGTCTCGTCCTCCTTACACCCCTCCTCCCCATCTGCTTTGCCAGAGCTGAGGTATGTGAATGCCCGTAGGCCGCAACCAGGGCCGCTTGAGGACGATCGGGGCGTCAGTATGGAGCCGGGAAGAACTCGCCGAGATCTTGGAGCCTCTTTTGTGGAGGAGCATCCGTTGTTGCCGCTCCTCCTCTCCTGCTCTTGCTCCTGATGCTGCGGAGCAGCATCAACAGCAGGAGCAGGAGAGGGTTCGAGAGCAGGAACACTGAACGAGGACGAGGATGAGGAGGAGCAGTGTAAACAAATGACATTGCAATAAACCCTCCCTCCAAGTTCCCTCTTCATTGGCTCCTACACGGACTCATTGTAACTGGGGGAAATGCCCCGTTGGAGGACAACTGTGTGAAAATCCAGAGTTGTGTCAGAACACCGTTCCTGGGACTTCAACGCCGCGAATCACCGTTATTGATGCGTCCTGACGATCCTGAATCGTGCCAGAATACCATTCCTGGGACTCCAATGCCGCGAATCAACGTAGCTGTTGCGCCCTGACATTCCGACATCCTGCCAAACCACTTCTTCTGGGGTGTTAACCATGTGAATAATTGAGCCTCTTGCGAACTCTTCAGACGAATGTGCGCGGCGCTTAGGTGAGAGCCACATCTTGAAACTGTACCGTCCTCCATCCGTGAAGCTCGCACAGACTTAAAACAAAACTGCATTGTGCGCGGCGCTAAGGCGAGAGCCACATTTTGGAAGCTGACCGCCCTCCATTCGTGAAGCTGTTGCAAATTTCAAGTTGCAGAATCATAAGTGGTGAGGGAAGTCTAAATCGAAACGCTTGGCCCGCCCTTTCGACTGGCCTCGGGGTGCGACAGGAAGGATTGATTGATCAGGACAAAGAATGGAGGAAACCTTGGGATGGGGAGTCAGTCCCAGAGCCGCCAGGGCAGGCCCGCCTGGCCACCCTGGGCCGTCCGGGGCTTGGAACCCTTGCCACCGTTTGGACAATCTGAGCAGGAGCGCAAGCTGCTGGCGGATCACGCGGCAGGCCAGCATCGGCGCTCGAGGCTTGTTGCCGCTGTTGTTTCTCGCCTGCTTCTTCTGCTACGCAACGTGCTGAAGTCGTCGACGCACATGATGATGTTGGTGTTCGTATTGGTGCTTATGCATGCTGGTGACAATCATGATGCTGCTGATGGCAATGCGAGACACGCCGAGTGGGAGAGAAGAGGAGATGAGGAGGACTAGAGTGCGGAGAAGGAACAGATGACGTGGTGTGGGCCCAGGACAAGGAGAGATGAGTTGTTTCCCGGAACAGGCATATGCCCAGGATCTCTTCGAGTTCTAGGTGGTGGACCAGGCCCCTCGACTGAAGGGGGCTGGCGGATATATATGATCCAGGGTCGAGTATGCACAGGCCCCCCCCCCCAGATGGGATGCGTCCCAGGGTTCCGAAGCCCCCCCCCCCATATTGGATGAAAGGGACGACGACAACAACGACGACGACGACGCCGCCGCCGATGCCGACGCCGACGCCAACGACCCCGACGCCGACGCCGACGTCGACGACTTCGACTTCGACGACGACGACGACGACGACGACGACGACGACGACGACGTCACCCTCCACCACGCCACGCCCACATGGCCACGACCACAAGGTGGGTTCGATCTCATTCGCGAGGTTTCGCGAGGCTCACGGGCGTACTCATCCAGCGGGGGGGGGCTCCATCCTATTAGCATTCGAGGGGGGGGGGAGCCCTGGATCAGATCGAAGACGTATACGGCGAATCACCGCCGCCCCCTGCCTTTTGGAATCGCCCATGTGGCCGAGCGGTGTGGCAAGAGCTCTGCCAATCTATCGGACCATGTGTTCCCCCAACCATTGTGGAAACCTTTCGGGGAACATTTGGGGGAGGATGGCGGGGAAGATGAGGAGGAGGACGAGGAGGAGGAGGAGGAGGAGGAGGAGGAGGAGGAGGAAGAGGAGGAGGGGGAGGAGGAGGGGGCATCTTGGGAGCCTCTGGGGGCACTCTGGGGGCCTCCTGTGAGCTCCCTGGGAGCTCTTGGAGGCATCTTGGGGGCCTCCTTGGGCCTCTTGGGGGCCTTGGGGGGCTTTTCGGGGACCTCTTTGGCCGTCAGGAGGCATTCCTGGCCTGTCTGACGCCGTCGGAAGCCGTCTTGGGGGCCTCTCTGGGCCGACTTGGGGCCCTCTTGCGGTGCTCCAGGGCCGTCTTGGAGGCCTTCTGGACCGTCTTGGTGACCAGTTGAGAGCCTCTTGGGCCGTCGTGGGTCATCTTAGAGCCATCTTGGGCCGTCTTGATGAGCTCCTGAGCCGTCTGACGCCGTTGGAAGTCCTACCATCCCAGAGCCAACACGCATACCTGGCGACAAGGGGGCATGTGGCATCAACAGTGGGATCATACAGCCTATCCTTCTGCGTGCACATATAAACTGTGAGGGAGGCCAGGCCACGCCTAGCGCCCATCAGCTCCCCTGCAAAAGAACGGAGAATCACGAGAGTGCAGTCGGTGAGGCCTACCACACCAGCCCCATGGCCACCCGATGGCAGGACCCTGCCTGAGCGGCCGGACCACGCACGCCGAGGATCCTTGCGGCCGTGCATTGCATTGGTCGAAGTTCGCGGACATCCACAAAATACATGGCGAGTTCCTCTTCCTCCTCCTCCTCCTCCTCCTCTTTCCTCCTCCTCCTCCTCCTCCTCCTCCTCCTCCTTCAGACCCCCAGCCCTCCCGGGGGCGCGGAGCCCGCCCCGCCTCCCAGGCACCGCCCCCGACCCCTTCCTCTCCCGGGCTCGGTGGGCGGTGCCTCTAGCAGAGGCGTCGTGGCCAAGATTCCGCGCCTTTCGGAGCGCCTGGAGCTTCAGCCCGGCCGCTCTCGACTGCTTCCGTCGAGGTCGCAATGTGACCGTGCTTGGAGGCCTGCAACAGAAGCCCTAGCTGGCGGGTGTAGCCGCCGAGAGCCTTGACAGCATGAAAATTAAAGACAACCCCAGCATGCTTAGCCAGGCTTCCTGTCCACTGAAACGGCACATCATCCATACTTAGCCTCGGGGCACCACGCATTCGAACTCCCTCTTGAGCATCTGGAGAGGCCGAAGAAGGAGGACCTGCATGAGGGTGGTGGCGTGGGAGCAGCCCGCCAAAATTCCCTGGAAAGACGTGTAGGAACGGCTCAGAGAATTGAAACCTTTGATGCGCCGAGGCTGCTGATAGTTACACACCACCATCCACGCTAAACGCACGGGAAATCCTACAGCAGCAGCCTCGGCCATCACAGCACTAAGCAAGACAAGTTCATAACATTTAATCATGTCGATCAGAACTGTCACACAATCCTGGCCAGTGTTCCGAGCGACCTCAGCCTCCAACTTGTGAGCAAAAGTACAATCGAGACTGGAACGTCCTGGACCGGAGCCCCACAAGAGCTCACTACGATGCCCCCCCTCCCACTCCACCGAAACAGGCCTCCGAACCCTCCCCCAACCCTTATTAAAGGATGCATGAGGGCGATCAGCCTGTGTTCACCAGGCTTGTCCGGCTTCGGCAGCCTCACCAACTACGTGGCCACCCGTCCTCGCAGCCAGCAGCAGAGCTTTTCGCACAACATGAAGAGGAGCGCCACCGTCTGCAGCGCCTGGTCGCTCAGGTGCCACAGACTGCACGGGGACATGCGCCCAGGACCAATGGCCGTCCTGGCAGAAAACTTGCGCACGGCAGCGCAGACCTCAACATGCGAGATCGTCGGCAGAGGCTCCCGCGACTCCGCCTCGGGCGGCAGCTCCGACTTCACGCAGCCGTGGGTCGTCCAGACCGTGGCCCAGTCATCCTGGCAGTCGTCGACTAGCTCATACGGCTGGCTTCCTGTCTGTGCCGCGTCTGCAGGCTGCAGGGCACGGGCCTTGCTGAACCGGTGAGCTTGCGGCGCGCCTCTGACGAAGTTGGCCTCGACCCAGTCCGTCCAAGACTTGGAGCTCAAAACATGTGTTTCTGCATCCTCTCGCCCATGGGTTGGAACCGTGGGTTATCGTATCGCACGTGGGCAATTTCTATCATAGGGAGCGTCTCGGGCGGGGGCATTGCTTGTGCGGCAATTGCGAGGAGGTCTCGAAAGGCAGTCCCTCATTCAGAGGGTCCCCAGGAGGAGGAGGAGGAGGAGGAGGAGGAGGAGGAGGAGGAGGAGGAGGAGGAGGAGGAGGAGGAGGAGGAGGAGGAGGAGGAGGAGGAGGAGGAGGAGGAGGGGGAGGAGGAGGAGGAGGAGGGGGAGGGGGAGGAGGAGGAGGAGGAGGAGGATGAGGAGGATGAGGAGGAGGAGGAGGAAGGAGGAGGAGTAGGAGGAGGAGGAGGAGGAGGAGGAGGAGGAGGAGGAGGAGGAGGAGGGGACCAGCAGCAGATCGAACCGAAGGAGTCTGCGTCGTCCCGGACGGCTCGCCCGGGGCCCGCCTTGTGGCCGAAGGCCATTCGGAGGACCGAGCCTCGAGGATCGATGCTAGAGAATAGGAGTTCTCGGGCATTTCGGAATCTGGTTCGGCCTTCAGGAGGATTCTCGCCGCCGCGCCTGGGTCACGAGCGGTGTTGTCCCCTCCCGCTCTCCCGCCCTCTCCCCCTTCCGCCCGCCGTTGTCGCCGTTCATCCTGGCTCTAGGAGTGCGGTTCCCTCGACAGGAGACGCCATGTTGTTTCAGGAGGGTCAGCTAAAACGTATTCGACTCGTCCCCGTTCGATAAGGGTCGGTTCGGCCCTCGTCTGGTTTTGCATCGCTTCGGTTCGTCCTGTCTCAGGTCGTCGTGTCCCGATTCTCCGCGTTGTGTTCCATGCATTGTCGGTGTTCCCTGTTGGCTCGTCCCGCTCGGAACTGAATCGGATCTTGAGCTCGAGCTGGTTGAGCGCCTCGCATGGTCCGACTGCAACCATCTCTGGGCGAGCTATGCGTTCAGACAATTCGGGCTTCAGATCTAGAGCAGTCCGTTCAGGATTCAGATGCCAAGGGTGACTTGATCCACAACGCAAAAAGCAGCACAGTTCAATGCGGCATGACCAATCTCAATTCAGCACAGCACGGCATAGCACAGCGCAGCATTTGGCACGGTACATCACCATCGATACTTGCAGTGATGTTTTTGCCCATCGCACAAATAAGGTACCTTGAGAACGTTTCCATGCTTCATGTGTCTGTCTTCGTTTCCGGGTTCGTTCGTGGGCCGATCATGTGCTACGATTTTGAGCCTTCGGACTGCGCGGCCCCAAAGGCTGTCAGCCCCAGTCTGCCATCGGCGCCGGACTTCTCGCCTGTGCTGGAGGAGATTCGGCGCGCCAGCGCGCAGCTGGTGACCCAGGAGGTTCTGCACGAGCAGGCGGGGGCGGGGACGTCCAGAAGATGCCCGTGGTGCAGCTAAGAGGTGGGCGTGCATATTTTTGTGGTGTGCAGTAACAAAGAGACTGGTCATTGAATTAGAAGAAATGTTTTTTTGGTTTTAAAGGCGGAGAGGTAGGCGTGCAGATTTGTGGTGTGCAGTAGTGAAGAGACCAGGTGCAGCCACGAGGCACGAAACCGTAGCTGGCCTTGGTGCAGCTCTCCAGACAAGGCGTACAATTGGTGTAGCTATTCTCAGCCACGCGCAGAGGAGGGTGGGGGGAGGGGGGAGGGCTTCTCAGAAGCACCCCTGCTTCTTAGAAGGCGCGGGCCTTATCTATAGATGTAAGGCCGGCGCCTTCTCAGAAGCAGCCCCCTTCTCAGAAGCCCTCCACCCACCCCCTGTGCGCACCGCCAATATTCAGCCGGTGTGGGCTACCTCCTGTCGTCCTGATGCCAGGGCGGACAACAGGGAGTAGTGGAAAAGGATGGATGCTGGCGATTTCGAAGATTCCGATGAGGAGGAGCAGGAGGAGGAGGAGGAGGAGGAAGAGGAGGAGAGGCAGGGCGGGACAGGAGAAGGACACGGAGAGCGAAGATATCGATCGGCGGCCGCGCGAGAGACGAATATGTATGATTATAGGGGGGGCGACTATATATATATATATATATATATATATATATATACAACTTGGGGCAACGCAGGTACGGAAACAATCACGCAGGTACGGAAACAATCACATTATGAGATCGAATACCCGGGATTTACAGGTGGAGATTTCACATCAGTCCCGAATCCCCAGATAGACCTCCGACACTCCAAACCTGACGTCGGAAATAGGCATCCAAGCACATGCCCTCAACTTTCTCTCAGGGGTTCTGCCGCCCTCTTTTGGAGGACGATCTGTGGAGGACGACTTGTGTCTACTAGACCCCATGGTGCTGCCAAGACGCCCCGGTCATGGCAGTCAGTAGGCTCTGTTTGCTGTACTGTCTTGCTCGGCTGGTGAAACGCGTTGGCTATTGGTGCACTCTTGCCCAGGAGTAGCCGCCGTGGTCGCCAGAGCCGAGGGGCGAGGAGCAGAGAAGCGAGAGGAGGGAGCCACCACTGCCACTACCGCCTTGGACTTGGGACCAGAGCTCGGACCCCGGCAGCATTCCTAGAGGCTGCCTGGGATCGGGTCGTCGGTCCAGGTCTTCCCTGCGACGCTCTGCCTCCTGGGCTTCGTCCACTCGATTGAGTCGACCCCTGGTCATGAGAGATACTCGTCGGCATTGCACTTTGGCAAAGCATCTTTCGTGGGCGAATCAACTGGCATTCGAGCGTGGGGGGTGCAGCGGACCCGCCCCAGGGCCAGCTCTGGTGCCTCGCATATTCTCGCAAGATCGACGACAGTACGTCCATGGCGCTAGCATCCCCCTCTTTGAACGAAGTGTCGTAGATCGATCTGGCGTCGACGACGCGTACTTGCTGCTCCCAGTTCCCCAGCCGGCAGTCACGTCTGAGCACAGTCTTGAATGGCCCAGACCCCCGATGATGATCTCTGACGCTTGTGTCCTCGAACAAAACAGTGGGGGCGCGCACCAAGAAACCAGTTGCCTTTCGTCAGGGTGCCCTGGTTTTCTTCGCTCCGCGCGCTGCGCGATGACTTCCAGGGCCGTCGAAGAAGCTGCTGCGTTCAGGATGCTCCAGGTTTATCCTCTCAGGTGCATCTCACGCGCGGGTTTTCAGGGTTGGGTTTCTTGCGAAGTTTTTGTTGCGACCACACTGTACGTCACGATACAAGATCTGCAGGAAGTGTACTTCGGCCATTGCTGCCGACAGCGCCCAGGCATCACCTGCGAGTGTTCAAGGGACCTTCCGCCCCGAAGCTTGGAGCTGCGCCAGCCCTATGACTGACGCTCGAACCAGATTCTGGTCGCACGCCATCGCCATCCGTGCGCCCCGAGTCGGACCCCTCGTGAGTCGAAGGATTGCAACAAAAACCTAGGATTGCAACAAAAACCTAGGATTGCAACAAAAACCTAGGGTTTTTGTTGCAATCCTTGGTTTTTGTTGCAATCCTTGGTTTTTGTTGCAATCCTCCTCTTCCGTGAGGCCATCAAGAGCTCCAGCACCGCCCGCGTCGGAAAAACGGAAGCGACGGAGATCTGTGCCGGGTCCAAGCGCCAGATGATTGCAGGCCCCTCGTGGCCGACGGGCGAAGGTGCCAGACGACCTCTTCGGCGATTGTTGCGTCTCCTCCTCCTCCTCCTCCTCCTCCTCCTCCTCCTCCTCCTCCTCCTCCTCCTCCTCCTCCTCCTCCTCCTCCTCCTCCTCCTCCTCCCTCGCTCTCTCTCGCCCTCTTCTTCCTCTCCTCCGCCTCGCCGCCGCCGCGCCACACGCGGCGATCCCAATCCGCGCCCACATCGCGGCGAGCCGGGCGCGCCGCGGGCTCGGAACTTGTACACTACAGGCTGGGAAAGGTTTTTCTCCGAACGCCGCCACATGGTCCAATGCCACATGTCAGGAGGATCTGTCTGGGCGACGGCTGCAATATGTGATGCAGTGGCCGAACAAACTGCGCTGTGGATGTCCACACCACACCCGCTGCCCCTGGTATACTGTAGCACGGCAGTGCAGAATGTGGGCCTGTATGTGTGTTCAGTATACTCCGTCCAGTTTCGCGTGTTTGCACCCACGACGTGTGTGAAACGTCAGTTCGCTGTCATGCACACGCCGACAACTCCCAGTGTGTCTTGGGAACGCCCGGGGGCCATAACGTTCCGAATGGTTACGCCCACCACGTGTGAGAACGAATGATTCCGTCACTCCCCCGCACCATATGACAAAACGAAATGTGTCTCGGAGCGTCCAGGCCCCCCCACGGCGACCACGCCGACGACGACCACGACGACGACGACGATTTTAACGACGACGACGTTGACCTGCGCTCTAAACCCGAACGCTGGCCACTCCCTGCTTCTCGCCCCGTCGCTGGCTAGTGCTTCGGCCTGGCCGACCACTCCCTTTAGCAAGGAGAGGCCGCTCGGAGGCGGACCAGGCGAGACTGAACAAACGAGATCTAATCATCGAATATCCGCTGATGAGGAAGTGGGGGTGGATGACAACATTGCGAACGTGGAGGAGGGGGGAGGAGGAGGAGGAGGAGGAGGAGGAGGAGGAGGAGGAGGGCGATAATCAGAACGTACGTGTAAGATGTAGTCGGGGCATGCCCGCGCCCCAGACTGGGCAACTTGCGGAGACTTCTCCTGATATGCGCGCTGTGTGCCAGGTCGAACAAGGAACGTTTGCAAGAGCCCCGCGAAAACCAGGGCCCCAAACCAGACAAATGGCGAGGACGTCTCAAGCGAAACCGCGCCCAAACCAGGGGGGCCCGACCAAATTGGGAGGACGACTCCGGCGAGACTGCGCCGAATCCAAGCGAAACCAACCAAATTGCGAGGACGTCTCAGGCGAAACCGGGCCCAAACCAGGCGAAACCACAGCGAAACCAGGCAAATTCCGAGGACGTCTCAGGCGAAACCGCGCCGAAACTGTGCGAAACCAAGCAAATCGCAAGGACGTCTCAGGCAAAACCAGGCTCAAGCCATGCGAAACCAAGGCGAAACCAGGAAAATTGCGAGGACGTCTCAGGCGAAACTGCGCCGAAACCAAACAAATTGCAAGGACGCCTGAGGCGAAACTGGGCCGACATCACACGAAACCAATGCGAAACCAGGCACATTGCGAGGACGTCTTAGGCGAAACCAGGCCCAAATCGGGCCAAATCAAGGAAATTGTAAGGAAGTGTCAGGCGAAACCGGGCCCAAACCACGCCAAACCAGGGGCCAACGAAGTAAGTTCGGAGGATGTCTCAGGCGGCTCGCGCCGCCCAACCAAGCCCAACCAGGCCAAACCAGGGCCCAAACCAGGCAGATCTGGAGGACGTCCCAAGCAGAATCGCCCCGACCAGGCTCCACCCCAAGACCCCCCCCCCCGGCGCGAGCCCGTTTAGAATTTTATGGGGGGGGCGTTTGGACCACATGTCCGCTGAGGTGGACGGGGTTGGGCGCGGAAGGTTTCGTTTGCCTTTCGCTTGTTCTTGGGGCCTTGGTGTGGCGTAAGGAGAAATGCGTCCGAATGTGTAGTGGCTGCAGTGCTTTCGATTCCAAGGGTTCGAGTGTGGCGTCCTTCTTGACCAGACGACCTCGAACGACGGAGACGGGACGGACTTTTTCTAACATGCACATATGTACATACATACGTTTATACATACACACACATACACTCTTATATACACACAGGCATCCATATATGCATAATTACATACATTTTGACTTCCCATGTCCATCTACGTATACACATGCAAACACGTATACCTATACATACGCATAGACATATACACATACACATACGTATACAATACATGCACGTTCACTTAAATATATGCATACATACATACATACATGTACACATATACATATACGTGGCGCGCCGTGGCCCAATGTATTTTTTGCCCCTGTTAAGTCCACGGGCCCTTCATGCCTCGTGGTAATATCGGAAATCCTTTGTCGACTAAATCTAGACTCGAGCAGACGCCGCATGAAATGTCTGGTTTCCATGAGCTTCCTATGGATATTTAATCGCTTCGCTCATTCCGCCGGCCCATACAGTCTCATGTCTGCCGTTTGCCCGAGGGCTTGGTGTCAATGCGGCGCTTTGGGGGTTCCTGGGGCCGCTTGGTTTACTCCTGGGGCGCTCGGGGGGGCATTCGGGGGGCCTCCTGGGGCCGCTTGGGGGACTCTTGGGGGCCTCCTGAGGGCCTCGTGGGGGCCTCTTGGGGCCTCTTGGGACCTCTCAGGGGCCTCTGGGGTCCTCCTGGGGGCTTCTTAGGGCCGAGGGCTGGACATGTTGTGTCGTGCTCCCCCCCTGGGGCCGCTCTTGGGGCGTTCTTGGGGCCCTCTTGGGCCGTCTTGGGGCCCTCTGGGGCCGTTTTGGGGCCATCTTGGCTCGTCGTGAGGCCCTTGTGGGGGGCTCTTGGGCACTCTTGAAGCGGTCTTGGG